TTTTATGATAATAAAGTCTGACAAATCAGTAAGAGCAATGGACAAAAACCAACAAGTTGTATGAGATGACATTAGCTTTTCAAAAATTAAAAAGCACAAAGCTCTATGTCAATGTATCTTTTCCTCCCATATCTACTTACCGCAAGATTCAGGTACTGTAGCAGCCGGTGGTTTGTGTTGCATAGACGGTGGTAGCCAGAGGAAGAAACAAAATCTGATTAAGCCATTTTGCTAAGCATGTGTTTTATTCATTGAGAGGATTACTTGGGACTATCATTCACAAGGTCGGCTGCTATTGTTGCTACCTCGACTACCATAGTTGATGGGTCGATGGTAGCAACCCAAAGCTACATCTCGACCAAAGCTTTTCATCCCCATGGATTATACAACCAACTCTATTTTTTTTATAAAATGGGTCCTCATGTTGAAAAGTGGAAAGCCCTACTGACTTATAAATTTTGATGCGAGAATCTTTGTACAGCAAAGTGTATCTTTGAGAATCTTTAGTTTTGTATTTGTATGGTGTGGGAAAGACACTTGATTGCAAAGGTCCTATTATTTCCAATAGCACTTTTCTTCGATTTTTTGTGGACTGATTTTGCTGTGGCCATTTTCAGGGCAGATTTCTTCAACCTATAATTGGAAGTAACCATTCATGGCGGATTTTTCCAACCCTTTTCCAGGGATAACCATTTTTACGATGGGAACTATGTTTGAAAATTTGTTTTCCCAAATTCCTTTGGAATAACCATTTTCTTGGTGGGTTTATTCGACACTTGACGGGAAATCTCCCTTTTTTCAAGAAAATTTTCAGATGCTTCCATTAGCCTTCTTTTTCTTTCGAATTTTGGAGGCTGTCCTAACTTTTTTTTTTTTTTTAAGGTAGAGAACTGCCCCCCAAAATAAAACCATATTTTCCGGGACTTTTTGGTATATGGTAGAACATGGTTAATGTACCATTCTCACAAACGGTACCAATTTGTTAATCCCCAAAAATGAGTCAACAGAATCACAGTCACGTCCCCTCCACGTAGAACTCCTCTTCATTATGAAATGAATTATATAGAAGTGAAAATGGGCCTAATGGGCCAGACCCAAGCCCAATTGTGATATTTTATGTGTATAATAACAACAATTCTAGAATAAGAAATGTTGATTTTTATAGCTACAATAATCTTTATTATGTTTATTATATAGTGTATCACAAAGAAATCATGAATCTCCCCTCTCATTTATTTACATTAATTATTAATCATAAAAATCTTCATATCTCAATCCCCTTCACATGTTCTCCATTGGCAATAAATTTAAAAAGTAATCTCAACGGACTCTCTCCAACTTCCTTTATCATACATTCTCTCTATATATTGGAATTTTTAGTATGTTAATGTTCTGTGTTGACGGTTTATAATTTCAACGCATATTATAATGTTATAATACCTTATTTAGTTTCATATAATGATAAGAAAATATTATAAATGTTTACTGTAGTTATAATGTTGTGTATTTAATAAAAAGTTTAATGGGAATATAATTATCATATCATTTGGTATTTCATTCTTATCTAAACTTAGATATCATGGACTTCATATGTCACTGCCAATTAAAACAACTTTTAGATAAAGGTAAATATAACATAAAATAAAATTTTATCAAACTATATACTAACATTCTGTATGCATTAATTTTATTACATTAAACATATTATTTAGTTAGGGTATGTGTGAAACAGCCATTTAAATAAGGAAATATGAATATTATTTTATTAAATTGATTAATTCAGTTGAGGGAAGAAATTTAAATTATATTTTTATAATAAAAGCCTCTAATAAAAAGTAATATAATATTAAAAGATTAATTTAAGAAATTATTGACAAATGGAAAAGAAAATGATTTTTTTTTTATTTTGTGTTGAAAAAATTGAATTAATATTATTAATTAATTATCAACAAAACTAAAATAAAATAAGAGTATATTGGGCATATAGCTAAATATGTAAGGAATGTTATTAGTTAATTATTTACAAAATTAAAATTAAATAATGGCATGTTAGGTATATAGCTAAACATGTAATGGTAAATTGGGTATTCAAAGGTTTCTTCTCAATTCCCATTTTAATATATTGTAGATTTATATTTGAATTGACTTATATTCTTTCACGTAATATGAATCTAGGTGTAAATGTAAGACCAATTAATTATTGCCCACATAATATTATCAAGGAATTAATTGGTGTGGTTTTATCAGATTTGCTGTTGAAATGCTGGGTAGGTATCAAAGTAAACCAAGACTTGATTATTGAAAAATTGCAAAAAAAGTGTTGAAATACTTGTAAAGAATGAAATACAACATGTTCACTTATAGGAAATCTGATAACTTTGAGGTAATTGAGTATTCAGATTCCGACTTTGCTGCATATATGAATACTAGAAAGTCCACATTTCGTTGTTCCTCTTGGTTGGAGGGACTATATCATGAAAATGTGCGAAAGAGTCAGACAGTGTTACGTCCAGTATAGAAGTTGAGTTTGGGCATGTTTTGAGACCATAGTTAAAGAAAATTGACTGCATAACTTTATTTCAGGTACGGAATTGTCAATAGTATTGCCAAGCCACTAAACCTTATCGTGACAATTCTGAAACAGTCTTCTTTTCAAAGATCGACAAGTACTCTAAAGATGCTAAACACATGAAATTGAAATATTTTGTCGTTAAAAAAGTTCAAAATAAAAAATGTCAATCAAACATGTTAGCACTGATCTAATGATTGTAGATGCACAAATGAAAGGATTGTTACCAAAGACATTTAATGAACATGTCGAAAGAATGAACAATATTGAAAATGATCATTGACATCATGTAATTTATGGTATTGATGTATTTATATTGAGCTTGTTTATGTTCTTTTTTTTTTTTTTTTGACAAAAATAATATCGTCTTTATTGTTGGTATACGTGCATGGTTAATTATGTGAATGCTGACAATGTACTGATTATGTGAATGCTGACAGGGATGGTCTTTTCGAAGACACTATTGTAATGCAATTATCAAATGTCTTATTACGTATCATGTTAAGTGAGAACTAATACATGGAAGTAACTATACTGAAATGATGGTGTAAAATCATCAAGACTATTACTAGTCTTTACTTAAGAATGATATACTAAGTGACCAATATAGAAATTTTAGCTTTGATATGTGCATTATTTACACAGGCCAAGTGGGAGAATTTAAGACCAATTAATTGTGGCCCATGTAGTATTATTGAGGAATTAATTAAGACGGTTTTATGATGCTAAGATCCAATTGGCCCAATGAAAAGTGACAGTTTCTTAATTGTACAATTTAATGGAAAGTGAGTAATTTTAAGGCCCATTTCAAACTGCATCTATCTGTCCATAAATGTGAATGTATCCCATCAAATTATACAGTTCAATTATAGAGAGAGAAAGAGAGAATAGGTTTTTGGTTTTCTTATTACTCTTTTGTAGATTCAAATCTTCTGATAACTGATATGTATCAAGATATGTTTGTTGAATAATTTATTTATATGTGAAGATCATAAAATTCTAAAGATCTTGATATTAAGACTGAATTGCTAATGGTAAACTCATTCGTGCCCAAGAAGATTGGCGACTCGAGTGTTGGTTGTTGGGAACTACCTAATGACCCCTTGTATATTCTAAATTTCTTTAACAACTGCAACAATCAAAATTTGATAGCTGACCATTGGTGGTGGATAAAAAATGTCTGGCCAACTCAACTCGTTTTATAATTGTCGAAAAGTTAAATATTTGGCCGAACTTAAAGGGTTACTTATAAATAAATTATTTTTATTGATGAAATTTAATAATAAGTGGGTTATTGATTTAATAGTTAGGTATAGTTACCTTAATAAAAGAAATATCAAATAGGAGTTAGTGAATCTACCATTAACTCAAGAGGTTGGGTAAATATACAGATTTTGTACCATTATTAGATGTCTTGAGTTGGTATCTAATATCTAGTGTGATTACACCTACAAAACGCCTCGAAAAATTGGGCTTAAATACACGGAATTTTAGTATGTTCTTATGTTTTATATCTTAACATAAATTTCCATATTCAACGTCATATTGCTTGCGAGTGTTTTAATTTGGAGTAATGCTATTTAGGCCTACTCGAGTTATAATCAAATTTTATATTACCACTTAATCTGGTGTCAAATAACATTATCCGTTTAACATAGGTCGCACTTTGCATAGGTCAAACCCATTTATCACTGCATTCATACAACAAGCCATCTCTTAGATGAGTAAAATAAGAGATACGGTTACTCACCATCTCGTTAGGAACATTTAGACCCTCCACCATAGTCCTGCTTCCCAAAAAGAAATATCGGACAATTAAAGCATAATTTTAAAGAAAATGTTGTTTTGTACAACATATTTTGACATCATCGTTGATAATGTTGTATGTGACAAAAAAGTGTTTGTTGAAAAGATAAATTGTTTTTTAAAGTGTCCAATGACAATGCCACGTGACATGTTATCAATAATATTGTTGAAAACATTGTACACCAAGCATGATTAATTTTAAATATCATGTATCCCTTCTTCCCATTAATTTCAAACAATTATGTAGGATTTATGAAAATCAGAAACAAATAATTGGAGCCTTGAGAAAAATAATACTAAACAAACATAGTTCATCTTTACTAGAAACCATGTTCAGCTATGCTTAAAATAAGTAATGAAAAACTTACTTTCTATTTCGATCAACAATTCAAAGTCACTTATTTACTAATAAGTATACATTATAAACGTAGCCAAACATGCTCTTCACCCTATTGTTCCAGTACCACTGAACAAGCACAAGAAAATATTTGAAGCCTTGAATTATAGTACTAAAACAAAACATAGTTCATTTTTACTTGACATAACATGGGGAAACAACGTCCTGGTAGTAGATAATGAGACAATTGAAATAAGTTCTGCAAAAGCTCAACAATATTCTTCAATCTCAACCATGAGTGTTGACAGCTTCCCAAACTAAATTCCTCGGAACCGGCTTTGTAAAATCCCGAGCTTGGATCGCAGCATTTTTTAACGTCCTCACTGTCATAACATTAGCTTCCCAGAACGAGGCACAGTTGTAAGGCAATCCATGTTTTTTGCACAATTCCTTAACAAAAGGGGAGATTTTCCTAAGATGGCATCGAGGTAACCTAGGAAACAAATGATGTTCCACCTGAAATTGTAATCCACCGTGAAACCAATCCATCCAAGATGAACACTTAATCCCAAGAGTCCCATTTGTTTGCTTTTCAAACCAGTCATTTCCTTTAGGAGGTCCAACATAGACACTTGATGAGAAATGGTTTAAACAGAACTGAACATGCTGAATCCCGCATATCATAAAACTGGATATAACAAACATTAATCTTCCACTCCAGTTGGGTAAACAAGAAACCAGTAAAGGGTACCAAATCCAGAATATTAGCAATCCAAAAAGTTCTAGAATTCTATGAGGAACTTTCCTATCAGAGAATAAGAGAATGAATGACTGGGCCCATAAGTTAATCCTAGCAAAACACATGACAGGATAAAATGTGAAATGCTGGTTACTAACCAAGAATCTAGCAAAAGAATCAAAATCCAATGTCCTATCATAGAAATAAGAAGTGATTGAGCTAAAAAGTTTAGACGAAACAGCAAAAAATGGCAAGTGTTGAAGATCAGGATCATAATCAAGACTATTGCAAGCAATGTGATGGGAATTGTGGTTCCATTTCCACCACTCAATGCTGATGCCTGCAAGGCAATTTCCTGTAAGAACTTGAGCAAATCTGTTAAGCCTTGGTGTTAGCATAATCTGGTAATGCCCAGAATCATGCCCAAGCCAACCACTTTGGATCCAAATAAACCCCATTAAACCACCAGAAATCATATGCACCAATGGGCTTTCACTGCAAAGAACACCATAAACACTCACAGCAAAAAGGATTACAATCAAACACATAGTGAAGAAAGCAGTATGCCCTTTCTTGTCAAAAAGCCCCATCTTTGAAAACTCAAAAAGAAGCTTCCTATAATCCTTGGATGCATCAGAAACAGAATAATCTTCTAAGTAAAACCCATTAAAGAATTTATCAAGATATTTCCAGGCAGTGCCGGGATGAAAAGCAACAAATGCATCAGTTGCATCTTGGCCGGCAAGATTCAAGAGTGGATGCTCACCACCTGGGTGATGATTCACCCATTCTGAAACATCATACACCTTACCCTGAATAGAAATCCACAGATCCCCTGGTTTCTTGTGCTTTTTGAGCTCTTCTGAAGTAATGTACCTTTGGGGTTCTGTCATCGGAGATTCGGGATTCAATATTCAAGAAAGTGGTAGATGAAAAGCTGGAAAATGAAAGGAGAGACCCTTTAGTCCTCGTCCTAAAAGGACTTTTATATCATTGGAGGGATGTGGAGATTGAGATATGAACCTGGAGTGAGTGAGTGGCCGTGGTTTTGAATTGGAGATACGCAATAAAAATGTGTGAAAACAGTGTAATTAAATTGTAACGTTTAAAAATGTACAATCACAAATACCTTATAAAGTCAGAAATTTTCTGACAGATTCTACGCGCGAGATTTGGGGATTTCATCACTTGCTTGTGAGGGAGTTCATTGCTGGGGCCATTTACATTCTTCTTGCATGTGGTGGTCGTTTGATTGGGAGGAAGAAGGTGGCGCGTGACGAGTAGAGTAAGCATTCAGGCTGGAATGTGGGCCCCACCCCATGTGTGGGCCTCACCCCATGTGTGTGGGCTGTGTAATTCACTGTACAAAAAGGCTGTACAACAAGCCTTTTTCGTTTTTTTTTGTAGCAAATGATCCTCCTCCTGTTTTTCCTTGAATATCTTAAACTTGTTTAAAACATTCAAAATTTGGTTGTTTGGCTAAGCATATAAGAGCATCTAAATTATAATTTCGATCTTTGAATTGAAGTGGTCGAAAATCTCTTCAATAAAGATGCAAAGGAAATGCAAATCTTATTTTCCAATAAAAAAATGTACATATTTTTCGTGTTCATAAGAGGCAAAAAATGAATTTAAATATTTTTATTGGAATAAAATTTGAATTTAGATCCACCGAGATATAAATGAGGATACAAAAGTAATTTTAAAGATATTAATTTATATCCAATTTTACACTATCATTGAAAATGCTCTAAGTTATTAAAACTCAATTGTTGAATAAATTTTGAACCCCTTGTGGCACTGGCCGTGTATAGGCATGGCCAATATTCTAAGAAAGTCACATAGTGGTTGACTATATTATCTAATGTGTCGATGACAAAAGAAAACATGTTTGTTTCAATAAAGGGCAATGCTAACAGGGTCTGATATGGGCCTTTACTATCACCTCGAGTTTCGTATTCTCGATGAATGGGTATACACTAAACGGGGGAAAAATTTCCTCGAGTACGTTATAATCCTCGAGTATATCGAGGATTGTAGATATGATTCACGGTAACATGGTGATGGAGTCCTCAAGATGTGCCCTCGGGTTCTCATTATTATTGAGTTCTCGATCATTTTTCTTGTCCAAACTCAGGAGGTTTCCTTAGATGTGAACCGATTCGGCATTCTAGAAATTCTAAGTCAACTCAAATACCTCAAGACTCCTACTTCCAGAAGGGGTCTACATCGCTGAGTGTCATAGTCAAACTATGACTAGATTTACAGTTGTAATACAATACTCACCTCATGTAGGATTCCTAAGGGTAAGGACATATATCAAACCAAGTCCTGATAGGATTGCACCACCTATCTCTATAAATATGAAATCATAGATCATTATTCAGGTACGTTTTTACATACAATTTCAGCACTCAAGCTTTTTCATCTTCTTTCTCTGACTTAAGTATCGGAGGGAAGAAGATGACACACATCGACGCCTTTATTTCATGTACCAGAAGATCACATTCATGCTTGATCTCAGTCGTCAAGCTCGGAATTCATCAAGTGCGATTTTTGGTAGCATCATTGGCGCTGTATGTGGGAAACACTACCAAAGCCATGGTCAACACACATTTAGGTCTTCCTCCAACAAGCACATCCCCACTAAACCCACCACTTGTTGTGGAGCCTCCACTCCATCAAGAAGAGTTATCAGCAATACCGGATCCTCAATTGGTAGTGGTTACCACTGGATTATTCGAAGAACTCCATCAGCAAGTTACAACACTTACCCAGCTGCTAAGTCAAAGAAATATTCCTCCAGCACTCAACCAGGAGGTTTCATAGCTGATGCTCGAGCTTGGGACATCCGTGATGCCTATGACAATGGTGGATCTAGGGCCTTGGGCATATTCCCAATGGACTTAGATGAACTCGCTCGGATCATACAAGATGGGATTACGACTTAACTACAATAGAATACTCAGGGAATGACAAGGTTTACCCCTAACACACCATTCACGCCTAAGGTTCTTTACAAGTTCAAGTTCCCACGCATAAAGGAGTATAATGGGACTACTGACCCCATCAACCACCTCAATGTGTACATAGACATCATAAACTTACAAGTTGCACCAGACCCAGTAATTTGCAAGGCTTTTCCTCAAACTTTGACCAATGCTGCCAAGGATTGGTTCACCACGCTTAAGCCAAATTCTATAGCATCATTCTCAGATCTTGCCAATATGTTCTCCGCCTTCTTCGCAAGTAGTAAGCGCATAAGAACACAAGAACTACCTTTATGGTGCTTCACTAGGGCCCGAATGTGACTTTACGTAACTTCATAACGAGGTTCAAAAAAGAAAGGTTACAGATACTCGACTGCCGCTGTTTTGGCTCTAACATATGTAGTGAGGTGTGAAACCTTTAGAATGTCTTAATCTAAAACGCCACCGAAGTCAGTGACTGAGCTCCTCACCCGATAACTAAAGTACAGCAACATGGATGAGGCAATGAGAGCTAGCCCAACCTCTGAGAAGCCCCAACTAAAGAGGCCACACAAGCCAAACTTGCGACAAGATTATGCTTGAGGCAAACAAAAGCAGAAAGTATACTGATGGAGATCAAGAATATGAAGGGGCTTAAATGGCCTCTAGGTTACGATCTCTCCCGAAGACCAGTGATAAGAGTAAATAATGTGACTACCACAGGGATCATGGGCATACAACAGAGGAGTGCATAACATTACAGCGGGAAATTGAGACACTGATTAAAAGAGGATTCTTGAAGACATATATCGGGCACAATAAACATCCCAGAAATGATTACAACAAAGTGAGGACCTTAGAGTCAGGATGAGGTAAAAAACCCACAGCTGGTACAATCAACATCATAGTTTGGGGGATAGCGTCGAGAGGAGATTCACATGGTGGAAGGAAGCAATATGCTCGACAATACAGTTCGGCTCGAGAGACCACACTCTGTAACACGGAGGACATTATGTTTGGATCAAAGGACTTGGAAGGCATAACATCTCCTCATGACTATGCCTTAGTCATATCTGCTATAATAGCCAATTTCAAAGTCAAAAGGATATTGGTAGACAATAGAAGTGCAGCCAATGTATTGTCCCATGATACCTACGAAGATGTATATTTCCATTAACCAGCTCAAGATGGTTTAAGACTCCACTCCAAGGATTTGGCGGTGGAATAATCATCCCAAAAGGAGTTGTCGACCCTAACTTTGGGCTCAGGCCAGAGGCAGGTAACGAATATTACACCTTTCCATGTGGTTTAGACCTCCATGGCATACAACGCAATCCTCAAAAGACCACTATTGAATAAGATCAAAGCCATATTATCTACCTTTTTACCTTGTTATAAAGTTTCCAACCAGTCATGGTGTAGGGATTGTGCGTGGGGATTAGACAGCAGCAATGATGTGTTATGTTACTAGCATTTGAGGTTTGAGCATTTATGCCATGCAATTATCCATACCTAAGCTTGAGTATCAGGAGAGACTTGCTCTAGTTGAAGATTTGGTAGAGGTCGAGCTCGAGCATGGTAAAAAAGTGAGCATCGTCCGAGATCTTGACGCCGCTCTGAAGGATGACTCATCAAGTGTCTATCTCACAATATCGATGTATTCACATGGAAAGTTGAAGACATGTCATGGATAGACCCTAATGTGGTGATTCATAAACTCAACATAAGACCAGATGATAAGCTAGTAAAAAAGGGAAGATGCAATTTGCGTCAGAAAGACGAGAGGTAATACGAAGAGCAATAAACTTGTCAATGCTCGATTTATTAGGAAGTTCAGTATCTAGATTGGCTCGTTAACGTTGTTCTTGTCAAGAATACTAATGGAAAGTAGAGGGTGTGTATCGATTTTACAAATCTCAAAAAGGCGTGTCCAAAAGATAGTTATCCCCTGCCTCGGATTGATAATCTAGCGGAAAGTACCTTGGTCCACAATTTGTATAGCTTTCTTGATGCATTCTCAGTCTATCACCGGATCCTCATGGCGCAGAAGATCAGGAGAAGACATCCTTCATAGCTGAGTCTGTCATATATTGCTACAAGGTCATGCCATTCGGTTTGAAAAATGCAGGGACAACGTATCAAATGCTCATCAACAAAATCTTCATCGATTTGATCAGGAAAAACATTGAAGCCTATGTCGATGACATGGTGGTCAAGAGTAAATAGGTGAATGAGCACATCACCGACCTTGAGGAGGCGCTCTCTACAATTCGAAGGTATAAGATCAAGTTAAACCCATCAAAGTGTGCTTTGGGGTGGCCTTATGAAAGTTTTTGGGCTTCATGATCACACACCCATGAAGTCACCTCTGAGCAAGAAAGAGGTGCAAAAGCGAACGACCCGATTGCAGCTTTGAATATGTTCATGTCTAGAGTAGCAGACATGTGTTTTCCTTTTTCAAAGTTCTTAGGGACAATCTGAGTTTCAATTGGAATGAGGAATGTGAAAGAGCTTTCCTGCGACTCCTCCAATTCTCACAAAGCTCGAGTCTTGAGACATATTGTACCTATACCTAATCGTATCTTAAAATGCAGTGAGCGTCGTACTGGTCAAGGAAGTTAAAAAAGCTCAACAACCCATCTATTATGTGAGCAAGGTATTGCTTGACGCAGAAACAAGGTATACATTAGTAGAACAACTCATTATAGCCATGGTCACATCAGTATGAAAACTAAAGCATTGTTTTCAATCACATTTGATTGTAGTGATCACAAACCAACCACTCAAACAGATACTCCAAAAACCTGATATTTCGGGAAGATTGTTGAAGTGGGCAATATAAATTGGTGAGTTTGATATAGATTTCAAGCCTCGACCTTCTATTAAATGGCAAGTATTAGCGAACTTCATTGCAGAGCTCACCC